CCTTCGGTGGCTCCGGTGCAGCAGGTCGCGAGCGTTCGGTGGCACCGGTGCAGCGGTGCGGCCTTTGGTGTCCGGTGCAGCGGTGCGGCCTTTCGGTGGTTCCGGTGCAGCGGGTGCGGCCTTCGGTGGCACCGGTGCAGCGGGTGCGGCCTTCGGTGGCTCATATTCCACGGATTGTGTTGATTGAAAGCTTCGCTGTGCTTTGTATCTAATGCGCATTTCTTCCCCGACGCGCCAGCTGGCTGTGGCCACCATTGCACACCAAACCCGGCGCATTGTGTGCGGCGAAACAACTGGATTTAATATCACGAGGGAACGATTGGGGATTGGCTTACGCACCTGAAGCTCGTGCCTTCTCCGGACCAGTTCCTCGTTTTCCTCTCGTGCCGCTAAGGGAGGTTCCACGAGTACCAGCTAGCGAAGATGCGGCCGTGCTCTTCTGCAAGGAAACATGCAAAACAAAAGGTGCATAGACGGACCGAAGGAAAAGCAGAACATGGCATGCAACTGGAAGCGGGAAGAGAAGGCAAGAAGGGTTACAGAAGAAAATCTGTCATTTTACTTTACACGCGTGCATTTGCACGCTTGTATTTTCTTTCCCCCATCGTTTTTTTTTTGATTCCCTTGTCTTTTGTTTGTGCCCATACTACAGTCGGCCGCCAGGGGGCCGGGTCGACGCACGGTGACGCGTCTCAGTCGTAGACTTCAATTGCCACCTTTGAGCCCTTTGGCCCCAACATGCGCAAGGCCTCGTAGCACCCCCAGACGCAGAACGGCAGGAGGGGCGCAAGACACACCGCCGTAAGCGGCACACCGTGCATTTTCTTCTGGTACTGCGTCAGGTCCACTGGATCATTCGCACGCAGGATGCTGTACGTCAGCGCGGTAATTAACAGGATCCAAAGTGGCAGGACCTTCGGCGTCAAGAACATCGTTGTATCCCTCGATCCCTTGCCGTGCTATTGCACCACAACAGGCAGCAGGAGCGGCGACGAGGCTGGCTTGCTTGGCTATAGAATCTGATTCTGCTCTTCTGCTGGGAGGCGAAGAAAAGGAAGAAGAAGAAGAAAAAAAGGCGGGGGATGCAGGCAGTCACACACACCCACACACACAACACGCTTTTTGCAGGGGCCATCGCGTTTCTGCTGAAGTGATCTCTGCGCCTATAAAACCGCCTCGCCCGTCGGTGGGGTCACCCAAAGTGGGCAAACGAGACGGTGAGGCTCAGCAACGGCTGGCGCCATTCCCGACTGGCCCGCTGCCGGCGCTGGCGCTCCCCACCAAAGACGTTCAGCCGCGGCCACGCGGACGCCTCACCCGGCACGCACCAGAGCAGCGGCAGCGTCAGAGGCTCGGACCCACCGCCCGACGCCACGACGCCGTCGGGGAGCGTCCACTCGGCGACACCGAGCAACTCGTCGCCGCTGCTGTAGAGCGCGATGTAGAGCGGGGCGGTGACGGAGTAGACGCCCAGCTGAAAGGTCTCTTCCCAGCGCGTACAGGCGTTGCAGGGGTCGCCGGTGACGGGACCGCCAGGAACCACACCGGCGCGGCTACGCAACTCCTGAAACCCGTTCGTCAACGATAAGACGGCGCCGCTGCTGCGTATGCCATTCACCTCACGAGCAGCAATATACGCCACACCAATGTACCGCGGCGGGCCGTCGTGACTTAGGGCCCCGTTCTGGCTCAGACCCACGCTACCCTGTGCATCTAAATCTGGCGGCGGCGGCACGGCCTGTTGCACATGGGGATTACGCTCCCTCGTAAACGCCCCCTCATACTTCAGAGTGATGTACTCCTCCCGCACCTCGCGCCGGGAGAAGCCACCCACCGGCTTACAAACGGCCTTCCCACTGCTAAAGTAAAATCCAGCATACTCGAGCTCGTCATTCACCACGTCGTTACCGCGTTTGACCATGAAATCCATGTCGGCGGCGCTCCAGCTGTCCAGCTGCACCTCGCGACAGCGCTGCGGCCACAGCTGTCGGTGCACACCGACACAATTGATACAAACAAAGCAGCCAAAGGGCCTCATTACAGCCCACGTGGGCCATTTTTCACCACAATCGGCACATTCCTGGTTCGCCGGCTTGGGCGCAATACAGGGCGCGTAGAGTGGCGAATGCGTAAGCCGCTCAGGCGCCTCTATCTTCTCACCCTCGCCGACCACCGTGGAGTCGCAGAGACTCTCCTCCCTGTCTTCCTTCTCTTCCTCTTCCTGCCTTAACTGCTTCTGTGCCTCATACCGGCGCAGGACGTCCTCCAGCTGCTCCACCTCATGCATCTCCAACGGATCGTCCCCTGTCACGTCGATGACTCTAGGCGGACGCCACAGCAACCGGTAGACGCCGCTGCCTTCACCCTCATCAGGCGATCCGTCGGTCGAAGGGGATGTCAGCTGCTTCTTCTGCTCCTGCGAAAATGGCGGCAGCGATCGCGCCGCAAGGCGTAGGTGGTAAATAAACCTCCACTTGAGCAGTTTGTCTCCTAAAAAGAAGAGTGCCACACATCCCCTGGGCGCGGCCCCCTCGCCGTGCAGTGAGCTGGCCGAGGCTGACGTCCGTAGCGAGGTGAAGAGCCCCGTAGGCCGCAGCTGCTCCACACTCGATGGGTCCGCGAGCTCCAGGCCGAAGCAGAGTCGGCCACGGTGCGTGCCACAGTCCACCACGCGCGAGCCAAGGAGAAAGAGACGCTCACGCAGGTTCTTCGCCATGGAGTTTTGGGGCTCGTCAAAGCAGTAGAGAACGCCGTCCGTGTGGAGTTCGATGGTCCGCGTGGCGTTTGGCCGCCTGCGCCAGCCAAACCAACACAACACCGCCCCCGAGAGGAGCAGCGTTTCCAGCGTCGCCTCTATCATTCCCCCGTGCAGGAAAGGCGTGTACGTACGTCTATAGCCAATTACGCGTGCTGGGCAGAGCGATACACAGGGGCAAAAACAAACAAACCCGCGTTCACGAAAGAAGAGCATAGCGGTAAAATGAAAAACAAACAAACAATCAAACAAACCCAAACATGCCAGCAAAATGTGGTCAATAAAAAACAACAACGATGTCGTGAATTACGGTGCCACACCCCAAACATCAAACTTGATTCAAATTGTAGGAGCGGGGTTTGCATTCTTTTCGTCCCCCTGTTTCTGTCAGATGACAAATGGGAAGAGACAGGAGGAGGGGAAATTACCCCCTCTGTGGGGAACGCAGACGCTTGCGGCTCTGCGCAGACTCCTCCCCGTCGCCCGCTGGAAGGGACGTCCCGCTTGACAGCACCTCCGTCAGGATGCGCTGCAGCAACGCATCCTGCTCCGACTCCTTTTGGAGCTCCACTGCCCGCCGCTCGGCCTCCATTTGGCGATACGCCGCCGCCTCCACCGCCACCGCGTAGTGGCCACGACGGTCACTGTCCACAATCTCGGAAATCACAAAGGGATGCAGCCCCGCATCTATTGTCATCACCTCCGGTGGCTGATCCGCCACGGTCTCTGTGGCGTGCACGAGGACAGTGAGCGAAAACAACGCCGGAGGCGACGAGGACGACGGCAGCAGAATGTACACGGGATTTTCTGTGCTGGGCGTGCGCGGCAGCCAAATGGCACGAGTCGCGTCAAATGAAGTGCCAACGGTCAGAGTTTTCGCGGTAGTGACGCCTCCGGCTCCCTCCGCCGCATCAGGGGCAAGAGCCCTTGCGGCAGAGGCAGACGCACGCCGCATATCCGCTTCACGCTTTGTGGCGACAAGTCGCAGCGCGGCCTCGCTGCCGCCAACCGCCGTGGCGTACAAAAGCGTCACTGTCATGCGCTCCCCGGGGACGGCGAACTCTTGCCAGCCCATGCCACCCTCACGGGGGACAAACAGTGAGGGGACAAACACCGGCCACTCGCGAGACGAAGCGGTCGACGCTGCGTGTGGCGGCGGTATTGTCCACGCGTACAATCCATCGTCGCCGACACGCTGGATGCGCACCGACACCACTGAAAAGGCATGAAGTCCTTGCGGAAAACCGTGCAGCTGCTCCCCAGCACTGCCTGACTCTGGTTTTCGTGCGTGCAACGCCTGATAGAGTTTTCCAGCAAGGGCCTTCTTGGAATCCGCGGAGGCAGAAGCCAAAGACGAGGAAGAAGCAGAAGTGGGACCGCCCATTTGCCGCAATCGCTGAAGCAGGGCCGTAGGCCTTTGCGCCTCAGCGGTGCCCGACTCCGCGTTTACCACGCCGCGCAGCTCCGCCTCGAGAAGGTTTTCGCTACTCCCGCCATCGACGGACACCAGCCGCACCTCGACAATGTCCCACGGAGAGGTCTTGACGAAGTTCGTTTGCGTGCGCAGCAGAACCGGTCGTCCTTTCCGTGTCAGCCCGGCGTCGACCTCGCAAGAGGTCATGCGGGCACCGCCACCACTGCTGCCCTGACGCTGTGGAAGAACAAAGCCACGCAGCAAACTTCCTCGCGCCACCTCCTTCACCGACCGCCGTGTGAGTAGAATGTGCTTCAGGGCATGCTGCAGCTCCGCGTTGGGCCCCACATGCACCACGTAGAGCTCGTGGGTTGTCGCAAGCGGCAGCTGATGGGTGCTGAGAAAGTGGTTGGCGTCGTGCACCGTGGCAAACCTCATCACCACGGCGAAGCGACCGACGGCGTGGGCCCTGACACACGCCAGCGCCTTCGCAAAGGTCTCTCCGGCTCCAGCGTCTTTGCCCCCAAACTCGGCTCCAGCGCCTTCAACAGCGGCCGTCGACTCACCGCGCGTGGCTCCGGGGAACGACAGCAGCTTCTCCTCGAGGGTGACGCCCGCGACGCCCTCCGCGACGAGCGAGCGCAGGTGCGCCGTGTCAATGGCCCTCGGGGAAGTCACGAGCAGCTCCGTCCCGACGTGGACGACGGGGGGGAGAAAAGTGACGCCCCAGCGCCGCCCCAGCGCCTCCGCGTCGCCTTGCAGCTTTTCCGCCGCGGAGAGGCGCTGGAACTGAACGATGGCCGCGCCGCTGTGGAATGCGCGGTCCTCCTCGAAGCACGCCTCCTCAATGAGGCCGTAGCCGGCCAGGGTGCGGAAAAGCTCCGCCCGCAACACCGCATCCTCCGGCTCGACGCCGCCCACGCGAACGCGGCGGCTGAGAGATGAAGCCGCATGCATCGTCGTCGCACAACCGCCGTCCGCGCGACGACAAACAGACCGCAGGGGCAAACACAGCGCTCCACGCGAAACACAAAGAAAAAAAGAGGAACAAAAAAAAAAAGGAAAAATAGACAAAAAAAGGAAATGAACTCAACGCATAAAAGTAGCAGAAGCCACGCACAGCAGGTCTCGGAAGCCATATACACAGGACACGGCAACGGGCCAGTACAAGAATAAAGGAATACAAACGACAAATAACGGCAACGTTTGGGATCCCTTCTCACCCAAGATGAGCAAATGTCCCACTGCGGCCCAACTAGGCGGAGGTGATGTCAGAGTCGCCAACGTCCGTGATGGACAAAACGCAGGTGCGGAAGTGCCTGCCGCACGCCGTCCCGAGGTCGAGGTTGTTCCCGGTGTAGTGGTGCATGGGCGTCTTGCTCAGTGTGCAGTAGTACTCAATCTCGGCCTTGCGGATGGGCGGGCAGTTGCTGGAGATCACGACAAGCTGGCTGCGGCCCTGGCGCAGGGTCTTGATGGCCTGCTGCGTCCCGATCACGTACTTGCCGGACTTCATCACCAGCTGGAGCTTGGTGTTGATCGTGTCCACCTTGCTCTTGCTCTTCTTGGCCATTGTGGTGGGGATGAATCCTGCATGTCAGGCGTCAACATAAATGCATTAGAGTGTGCGCGGAAAAAGGAGGTAAAAGGAGGGCCGATGAAACATTTCATGACAAGGAGTAAAACACACGTAGTAGGAGATGTAGTTGCACGTGTGGCAGAGAAGACAAGCTTCAGAAACCACGCGGCGGTTGTCGGAGTGAAAATCGCAGTCAATAGAGAGAAAATAAAAATAAAAGAAACTCAAAAAAGCCTCTTTCTTCACTGACGAGCAAACGCCCCACTGCGGCCCAACTAGGCGGAGGTGATGTCAGAGTCGCCAACGTCCGTGATGGACAAGACGCAGGTGCGGAAGTGCCTGCCGCACGCCGTCCCGAGGTCGAGGTTGTTCCCGGTGTAGTGGTGCATGGGCGTCTTGCTCAGTGTGCAGTAGTACTCAATCTCGGCCTTGCGGATGGGCGGGCAGTTGCTGGAGATCACGACAAGCTGGCTGCGGCCCTGGCGCAGGGTCTTGATGGCCTGCTGCGTCCCGATCACGTACTTGCCGGACTTCATCACCAGCTGGAGCTTGGTGTTGATCGTGTCCACCTTGCTCTTGCTCTTCTTGGCCATTGTGCTGCGGAGAGAAAGAGGCTGCCAAAAACAATGAAAATCGGAAACAAAGAGAAAAATACATGCGGCAACCGCGAGGAGGACAGACATGCGTTGACCCCATCAATTCAAGCACAAGCCAATTTCCTCCTGCGCCTTTTTCGCACACTCCTTCTCATCCTTTCCCCTACATGCACACACAAACACACACACACC